ATTATCAAACAGGCTATGTTATGTAGTACCCAGGTCTGTCATTCGGAGGAAGATGCGCGTGCCTCGATTATTCTACACGGAAAAGTGTAGAACTAATGCTGGAGAGAGTGCACCTCTTCGCCGATTATTGACAACGTACAACTCACATGTCACGAGCTTGGATATTTTCGCTCTCACTCACTCTAAATTTAAAAAAATTGCCACTGAAATTCTTGCTAATCTATGATAACATTTTCAGTTAACTACCTACCTATCTTTTATTATTACATATAATTCATCGATTATGTATAGTGTTTCTACTTCATCTATAAACTCGTGGACAATAGTGTGGGTTAAATATGTAAATGCTAAATCAATTGTAAAGACTGCATTGTATAACTGTTTTTTGTCCCTAATAAATAAAATAAAATAAAAATAAAATTTATATATTTTCGATTTGTGCATACATGCAGGACTACATATGAGTACGTAGGTAAACACATACATACACACACATACAACCTCATACACATACATAGAAATACTTAAATAATTCGTTAACTCTTCAAATGAGAATCCATCAAAGAATATTTTCCGTTAGAGTGAACATGAACTTATCAATTTGGGTTCATCAACCAAGACGGCATGGAATGAGCTCGTGAATATATTTCTCTAAGTCAATTTTTAACATCAACTACCAAGAAAAAGAGGCATTTGTTAACATAATCCACTTTTACTCAACATTCAGTATTCGACAGAGTTTAAAAGATGAGATGAATGTATGATGTGACTAAGATGGAGAACGTGAGTTTTTTTTACTTTTTTTTTTAAAGACAACTCCTTTAAAAGGAATATATCCTGCGTCGCGGGGGACTTTACAAACATGCATTAAACGGACACAAAGAACACCCATACTCAGAACAATAATTTGTGGATCACACAAAGTGTCGTCCCATATGGAGATCGAACCCACAACACTCAGCGTAGTAGTAAGTGGCGTGGCGACCGCTTAAACCACTACGCCATCCGTACACCGGACCAGCCGTGACCGGCACTAACGACAGAACTTCAATTCCTCATGCCCCTCAGAGTATTGAAAGTATTATTAGAGATAAGTAGAATCATTGTAAAACTGAGCGGTGCCCGCGGGGCCAAATATTTTTTAAATATAATTTTTTTTTGCAAAGATTTTTTACATTGTTCGACAATTATCTCATGGTATAGGAGCTAGCAACGTTTTCGAGAAAGAATTTTAGGTCAGCTGATTTTGTGATATGTCGTCTTTCTTGCACTTTCGGTTAGACTCTGGGCTATCTGGCTGGCGGTAGCGGTTGCGTTCATTAGTGCGCATCCTACCTGTCCAGGTAGTAATCCTGTATTTTAAAACCATTTTAGAAGGCGTAATTTTTAATTTTTTGTTTTTAAATAAGTCTACCTGACATACTTTTTTTATTGCCAGACATTTTGACAATGCTAACTATGTGCCATACGCGATTTTATTTTATTTTTTTATAAAAATTTCAAAGTATTTTATAATGTCTGTAATTTTAATATTATGTTATTTAAGATAAGAAAAACTTAAAATAAATTTGCCAGACATTAATTCGATTGTTAAGTCTTGAATTAAAATTAAAAAGTCATGAAAAGTATTGCAGTATAATGCTAGTAGTCCGAGAGAGATAGTTGCAGAATAAGTCGAGAATGATACAGAGAACCATTACGAAAGTAAATTACTTTTCACTGTGCATATAATAAAAAAAAAATAATAAGAATAAGAATAATAATAATCATCATTCTAGTCAGAGCAAGTTTCAAAAAAAAATTTAAGCATAAAAAGGAATATAAAATTAGATTAGTCCACATGGGACGATGTAGTCGCTCAGCGACAGTCCTTTTATTAATAAATATAAAAAAAAAAAATAGATTAAAATTTAAAAAACAACACTTTTTATTTAAATAAACAACACTTTTTTTTATGGAAATTATAAATAAATTAATATTAAGTTTTTCAAGTTATTTCAACCAAAGTTACAAAAAAAAGAGGCATCTTCATAATCATCATATGATTTGAAATCGCGTATGGCACATAGTTAGCATTGTCAAAAATGTCTGGCAATAAAAAAAGTATGTCAGGTAGACTTATTTAAAAACAAAAAATAAAAAATTACGCTTATCTCAAGTGAACCGATAGTTAAGCAACGCAATTTGTTTTAAGCAAGGTAACTAAATTATTAATGAACTAGGAATAAGGGCAGCAAGGGATCGGAAGGTTGTTATTGAAGGGTAAAATCGTAAGAAATGTAGGTGATGGTCAGTCATTTTCTCACCGTTGGCAATGCACAGTTTGGAATTATTCAACTTACACGGTCAGCTTTCATTGATATCAAGGATCCTAGTAGTAAAAACTATAAGTCTGCATTCACAGTTTTGGGGCATTTCGTCTGTAGAATGTACGCCACCAAAAAATATTAGGCTACATCAATTCGTTGGTCTAATACTCGTACATAGTGCTTGAAAGGTTGAGGAGCAATAAGTTATCGCGATATGGACATATGATACGGAGAGATGAAAACAATGTGTTAATTAAAGTTTTTACGTATCAAGGTAATAAGTACAAGCAAAGAAAACGATCAAAGAAAATATGGATGGACCATGTTAAAGAAGATATAGCTAGAAAGGGAGTAGGAAATGAAATGATGAATTAAATAATATAACATACGACGAAAACGCGAAAAAGAAATATCCCAAAAATATTGGAACAAGGCTAAGCAGACGACGACTAAATTTGACTATTTGGTGAGTTTTTAGATAATTTAAGGTTCTTATGTAAGCAAAACAAGGCAAATTTGCAATTCTGTGGTGACTTAATTTTCAGTAAACTTACTTAAAACCTTAAAACCGACTTGTTTACATTAAGCTTTCCTCTGCGGTTTACTATGAGGATTAGATTAATAATTTATTTACTCTGGTCGGTAATAGTGAAGTGTAGTAGAGAGCCGATGCGAATGGAAAGTTATTTAATCTGTAGTTTAATCCGTGATCGAATTAAACAAAAACTTTTGTCTTTTACATGATATTTAAATATAATATGTAAAGGAATTAACACGATCACGTAATGAATTTTTGAGCAGGTTGCACTGGTCCTTTTATAATTAGCCATTTTTTTTATTTGATTATTTAAGTAAATGCTTTGCTGACCGAAAGAAACTTATTTTGTTAAACAAAGAATTTAAGAAAATAACGCTTGCTCTGATGTACTATTTATATTTAATTCCAAGGTAACATCTTTTGCGTGATCATGATAAGTTCTCTACATATACATAATTATATTTATGCCCAAATGCACATTCTAACTTCTCTCTTCTCTTCTTATCTTATAAATGTGAAAGTGGGTTTGTTTATTTGTTTGTTTGTTACGCTTTCACGCCTAAACCACTAAACCGATTTTAAAAATTATTTCACCAATGGAAAGCTTTTAAACAAAGAATTTAAGAAAATAACGCTTGCTCTGATGTACTATTTATATTTAATTCCAAGGTAACATCTTTTGCGTGATCATGATAAGTTCTCTACATATACATAATTATATTTATGCCCAAATGCACATTCTAACTTCTCTCTTCTCTTCTTATCTTATAAATGTGAAAGTGGGTTTGTTTATTTGTTTGTTTGTTACGCTTTCACGCCTAAACCACTAAACCGACTTTTAAAAATTATTTCACCAAATGAAAAGCTGCATTATTAGCAAATAACATAGGGTACTTTTTGCCGTGATAACCGGCAACCACGTGGCAAAATATAGTAATACATACATACAGATATGTATTTTCCTTACTTTACTTTCTTAACACACATACACTCACGCCTCTATGCTGCCTCGTGGTGGCAAGCATTAGCGTATTATACGCACACATAAAGCCATGAATAATTGTAATCCAACTAATTTTATACATACATACTAATATTATAAAGAGGTAAATATTGTGAGTTTGTATGCTCGGGGTAATCTCAGGAACTACCGATTCTAATTTAATTATTACAGTGTTTGATAGCCCTTTTTTCGAGTAAGAACCGGGACCGAGTATCAACGAAAAATGTTGCGAAAACAGGGAAGATTTATTCATTTTGAGAGTAACTGCCGAAGTTGTGCATGTCAGATAGTAGGGATAAGCCTAGCGAGTATTGAAAATAAAAGTGCATAATAAGGCCTTTCCTGTGGAGACAGATTAAGAATATGTCATGTTATCACCCCTATTCATCCCTTAGGTCTCGTAAGAGCCGACTAAGGGAGCTAAATACGCAGGACAACAGCACTGCAAAAGAAAAGGAAAACTTGAAACAAACCCTACACCAACCCGTCTGGCCAGCGTTGTATAGTAAGCCAAAACCTCCTTTTTAAGGAGAGGATCATGTCCATTAGGGGCCCGTTAAAGGCTGTTCATGAATGGTAACAAATGTATACTAATGAACCAGGTGAACTGATTAGACTAACCGAATCTGATACACATCAATATAAAAATTAAACTACTTCATTGTGAACAAAACTAAGACAGAACTTACGAAATATGCTACAAAGAAATCAAAATGTAACGTTTTGTTTTTAGTATCCAAAGAACGCATTTGCTATTTACTTTATTGTCGACAGGCTATGTGTGGGTGTGTGTGCAGGTTATGTAATATATAGATTGTAATATTTTATTATTATTAATGTAAAAAAAATTAAAGAAAAAGTGTAGTTTGATCTCCTGCAGCCTTAACCACAAGCTCTTTTTCAATAAATGTGTTTCATGCTTTTGAGACTTCAAATAATAAATAATAATATACATATGTGTAATTGGAACTATCAGTAGTTAACCCGTTAAAAAAAATTAAAAAAAAATTAACCGTAAATGAATTGTAAATTAATTATAAATTTACCGTCACCTCACCTACTAGGGCTCTTGATGAAGTTGTACGTCGGAATCGAACCTACTGAAACCACACGGAGATTCATCACATTGCATTCGGGTCACGGGTTTACCTTAGAAATGAAATCCCTTTAAACCCCAGCCTTTGGCCGCCATAGGTAGCCACACCATTGCATGCAAAGGGCCCTTCCCTTCCTCTCGTTTAAAGAGACGCATGCAGAACTCGAGGTACCACCATCTCAAATCTGCTTCTGCTAAGGCGAACAGCCTCACTGTTACTTCCAGGCTAAAAGGGAACGGAATGGTTTTCTGATTTTGACTCTGGATTGGTGACCATATCATATCAAAAATATGCAATCCTATTTGAATATAGCCCATGACCCTTGAAATAACCTTCAAGGCTGTGATCAAAGTCAACAATGGATCATCATCTGCCTACCCTTTTCCCAATTTTATTTGGGGTCGGCGCAGTATGTATGATTTTTCCATTCTACTCTGTCATGCGTCATCTCACTGTTTACTCCCTTCCTAGCCATATCCTCCCTGACGCAGTCCATCCACCTCTTCTTCGGTCTGCCTCTTCTCTTGTACCCTTCAACTCTCATACCTAAAACTGCATGACATGTCCATACCAAGATAACATATTACTTCTTAACTTTTCAGCCAGTGGCGCTATTTTCAGACTCCCTCGTATATACTCATTCCTAACCTTGTCTATCTGAGTCACACCACACACCAATCTCAGCATTCGCATTTCGGCTACGTTCAGGTTTCCGTTCTCTTAATGGGCCAACTTTCAGAGCCATACAGGACGGCAGGTCTGATATTAGTTTTATAAATTTGTCCCTTCAGTGTTAAGGGGAAACTGGGGTCACAAGTTGTTCCCGTTACCTGCCGCCACTTCATCCATCCCGTATTGATTCGATGCTGTACAGTTCGATCAATCTCACCATCACATTGTACAAGGGAGCCGAGGTACTTGAAATTGGAGCAGACTGTTATCGCTAACCTTGAAATAACTTTCAAGGCTGTGATCAAAGTCAACAATGGATAGCCAGGGATAGTTCCTGTAACTTTTGTGTTTAACGTATTTGAGAAAAATGCATCCCTAGCGAATTATTCTGCTGTTGCGGTACTTATGTAACACCCGGTAAAATACTTAACACTTCAAATCACCACACCAATATTTAAGCGAGAACAAGTGAGGTCACTCAGATTTATACTTCTATTACTTCTATGCATATATATATATATGCCAGTGCCAGGACTTAAAACAGAGTGAACAATTTAAATAGAGTTCATACAAGATTTAAACTAGAAAGATTTATTAAAATTGGAGCTTAAGATAACCCTTAACGTATTAAAGTTTTTACATACTCGTATATTAGGGAGGATTGAATGGTATATAAACCTCCTTTCTAAGGAGAGGCTTATGCCAAGCAGTGGACTATTAAAGGCTGTTGATGAATGGTATATAAGAGTACAATAAATACTGACTGATACGACACTGAAGGTCTCATCATACCACACCTTGATGTAAATCCTCTATTTTGATTAAAAGTAGTCAGGCGGGCATTAAACGAAACTAGAAATACATACGTAAGTAAACCCATATTGGTGTGAACCAAAGTGCACTGGATTGAATTGAATAATAAATTACAATTGTATTTTGATATCAATTGACAAATGTTTTAATCTTTTTAATTTTCTTCGATTTTTACTCCACGTAAAAAAATAGATTGGCAATGAGGCCTGGTTGAAATCCTTCTTAAAACCTAAAATAAAAATGTACTCGGTATAAAGAGCATAAGTGATTTACACTGTGTTAACCCGTTAATGGAATGGTATTGTTCTGCGGGCTCCGAGGCTCCCTGAGGACCGGCGAATGACAGCTTAATAACACTAAATCAAGTATCGGTCCGATGTTTTTATTCGAGCGTTAATAACGTGAGAAATATAACTTTATTGTGTACCGACAGCGGTTACGGGTTGAGATATATGATTAATGAACGGATTTTTTATTAATTTACAAAACTTTTATATATTTTTATTTTTTATTTTATTTTTTACACACGGCCGTGTGATCCCAAACTCGACAGATGTACTATGGTAACCACACTGTTGATAAACATACTTATATATTTTTAAATAAAAACATATCATAGATAAATCACACTCAGACACAGAACAAATGACTGTGCTTATCACACAATATTTGTCCTGGTTGGGAATCGAACCCAGGACCTCCGATTTAGCAGTCATTACCAACAGGCCCGTCTAGATTGTATTGGTTGTATTTTATATTGATTGCATAAATTAGTTTCATGAATTTCAGACTACGGAGAATTGTAGGGTTTACAAATTCAAATTCAAATTCAAATTCAAATTCAAATTCATTTATTTGCAGAATGTAGTACATACAACAGATGTCAATAATTACAATACTGGTTCAGTACATTCTACCATGACAATGGTGTGCAAAAGGTGTCATAAAGTGCTGCACTAGCAGCTCACGGTCCATACTAGGTCAATTTTATTATTAAAAGTTCTTCTATACCATATGCACGAATTTATAGAATAAGTGAGACAATAAATAAAGATTTGTCAATAAAATCATGTCAGCTTTGAATATTATTATGAATTAAAGTAATTATATTATATTGTATATTAAAATTGAAATTAAGTGATAAAAAAAATAGTAAATATTTGTATAGGGCGGATCGCAATTATGTAAATGTTATGTTGAGGTAGGTTCCAAATATTCTTTGACTGAGTAGAAACATTTTTGTGTGAGATAAAGTTTAATTTTTTTTTGGAAAAGTAGTGGTTTTCTTTCGTTTTTAATAACGTCTGGTAGCTTGTTAAATATTTTAACTGCCATATAGTATGGGCTTTCGTTCAACATTTTTATTCTTGACGGAGGAAGGTAAAGCCTATTTTTGTGCCGGGTGTTTATGGTGTGGGTGTCTTTTACTTTTGTAAAGGCATCAATATTTTTGAACACAAATACGCATATGTCGAGTATATATATCGAGGGCAGAGTTAAAAGTTGAAATTTTTTAAAAAATGGTTTACAACTCTCCGTGTTATTAATTTGGGCTAGGATTCTTATACATTTCTTTTGCATTATGAATAGTTCACCGCTGTTAACGCTATTTCCCCATAGCATGATGCCATATCGGAGCCACGAGTATGCATACGCGTAGTAAGCAGACAAAGCTGTCTGTGTGTTAGTAGATCGTTTAATTTGAAGAAGGGCGTAAGAAAATCTAGAAAGTTTTGATTTAATGTGCTCGATGTGTGATTTCCAATTCATATGTGTGTCTATTTTCATCCCAAGTAATGTAAATGTCTCAACTTCTTCTAGACGTGTGTTTCTGTACATTTTGTTCAATTTTAAAGGAGATTTTTTATAAGATCTGAATTGTATTATTTTTGTTTTAGTTGAATTTATTTCTAAGTTGTGATCCTTAAGCCAGTTATCTATTGTTTGAAGAGTGTTTTGTAAAAGAAGATTTGGGTTATTTTCACTTTCGCATTTTAATAGTATCGAAATGTCGTCCGCAAAAAGTACCGGCAGAGTTTTTTCTTTGTCTAATGTTTTTGGCAAATCATTTATATAAATTAAAAATAACACACAACCCAATACACTTCCTTGGGGTATTGAGGAAGTTATTTGGAGTTCTCGAGATCTGAAGGATTTTATTTCATTTTTGTCATGGTTGTAATGATTAATTTGTACTATTTGTGTCCTATTTTCTAAGTATGATTTAAACCATGAATAAGCGGGTCCCCGTACTCCACAGCCATATAATTTGTTGAGTAAAATGTCGTACAGGACCCTGTCATACGCCTTTGTCATGTCCAGCAACATTCCTACTACGTGTTGTTTGTCATTTATGTGTTGTAACGCTCTTTGAATATATTTGTACACGGCTAACGTTGTTGATCTACATTTTCTAAATCCATTTTGTGAATCATCAAGAATATTAAACTTTTCTAGGAACGCATATAGCTGGTTACACATAGCTTTTTCGAATACCTTTGAAAACGTTGGTAAAAGGGCTATTGGCCTATAATTTGTAGGAGTGTTTGTATCGTCTTTCTTATGTATTGGTTTGACTAAAGCGACTTTTAGTGCGTCTGGAAATTGACCGTCTTCAAAACTTTGATTTACTAGTAATGTCAGAGGGGTTGAAAGTTCCATTGCACATTGTTTTAATAAGATTGGTGGAATATCGTCGATACCACAACTATGCTTATTTCTAGTTGATCGAATGATATCGATTATTTCTTTTTGATTTACAGGGCGCACGTACATTGAACATGTGGAGGGGTTAACCACTGGTTGTCCAGGGGCGATGTTAGAGCTGGTTGTTTGGTTGTGCCCTACCGTTGCAAAGAATTCGTTAAATATGTTGGCTATATCTGAAGGACATTTGACTTCTTCATTGTTAACATTTAATGATATATTTTTAAGTCTGTCTATTTTCGTTTTACCGGTTTTTGTGTTAATTATATTCCACATTGTTTTGACCTTATTTTCAGAATTTTTCATTTGCCTAATAAATTCCAATTTTTTTGATTTTCTAATAGTGTATTTTAATATTTTACTATATGATTTGTAGTGTTTTTTTATTACATCACTTTTAGTTTCATTAAAGATGGTTCTTAACACCCTTTTATGCTTGCATGAATTTTTGAGACCTGTAGTCAGCCACCCTTTTTTAGGTTTGCTTTTTATTTTTATTTTTTGTACCGGGATATGTTTATTGAGATTTTGTTCTATGAATGTCATGAAGGATTCATAATTTTTTTGTACACTATTGTTGTTGTTTAGTATACTTTCCCAATTTGTTGTTTTTAACGAGTTTCTAAAACATTCCATCTTATTTTTTGAAAATATTCTTTTCTCCGTTGACCACGTTTTATGATTGTTTTTTATGAGATAGTCTAGGTTTAGTTGAAGAGTTACCGCTTTATGATCTGACAGTCCATAATCACTAACAGCTGGTTTGTTTATGAGAGGCGGGTAGTTTGTAAAGAGCAGGTCAATGCAAGTGGATGTTGTTTTAGTTACTCGTGTTGCCTCGCGGATTATTTGTTGGAGGTTATACGATTTCATAAAGTTTAAAAAATCCAAGGATTGTTTAGTTTTGCTATGTACGTTAATGTTGAAGTCGCCACCTATTACTATGTGTTTATGTGAATGTTTAGTATTTAATTTATGTAAAACCTTGTCCAATTGTTGGTAAAATATATCAATATGGCGATCCGCTCTATATAGTCCTATGAAGATACAATTAATTCGGGGTATTTCTATCGCACTAAATTCTATTACAAATTCCCTTGAACAATGCACAATATCCAACATCTCAATAGAATACAACGAATTTCTAGTAATAATACAAACTCCTCCATGTTCGCGGGTTTTCCGACAGAAAATAGAACCAATTTTATAGCCAGGAGGCAAAACCGATTGACAATAATGCTCGTTTTTCCACAATTCTGATAATGAGATTATATCTATTTCGTGATCTACAAGCAATTGTTCTATCAAATCCACCTTGTTTCCAATGCTTTGAATATTTTGGAAAGCTATTTTGAGCTTAGGCAGCTGTATTTTTTGGTTTCTTATTCTTTCACCTTGTCTATGTATTTCGTGGCTAAAGAAAAAACTGTGAGCTGTCATTTAGTTCTCTCATCGCCTTTAATTGACTGTTTTGTTCACAATTATAATCATAATTTGTTGTGCGGTTTATATTGACGATTTCTTTTATTTGCTGTTTAATATCATCGAAAATCGTATGCATTCCCCTGTTATTCAGTCTTCCTGTCAGTTTGTTAAACATTGTACTGTCATAGCTTAAGTGTAGATTGGAGTCCAGCAACCATGCATGTAAATGTGTCATTATGTCTAGGTACAGTAGGTTACTAAAGTTTTCTATTCGCCAGTTATACATATTTGAACTATTGTTGAATTTAAAGGTAGGCAGGCATATGATAATATTTGTATTGTCTACTTTTTTCAAAGTGTTTCTAATATGAACGATTAAATCAAAGTAGTCTCTCGTTTCTGTGAAGTCGTCTTCTCCTATTAATATGATGCAAAAGTCATTCATAGTGTAATCCCTTAGCGTTTCTTCCATGCTTTTAAACAGATGATGGATTCCACAGTTCGTTTTCAAGTAGTGACAAATATTGTAATTATTCAGTTTTTTTTGTGCTATTGACAATACTTTATTGGTTTTGTTGGTACTAATGATACAAACTTTATTTTCATTTCTCTGGATGTGTTGTGTAGTGTTTGCAGTGCTCGTTACCGTTTCGTTAGAGTCTATAGATTTAGTTTTCTTATTTTTGTCAATTGGTTGGTTAAATTTTAAAGATTTTATCTTGTTCTTTGGTGTGTGTGTTTTTAATTTTAAGGGGGTACATGTCACTTTCTTGTATAGTTCGTTATTTTTTTGTAACTCCTGATTAACGAGCCTAAGGTTGGTATTTTCTAAAGACAGAGATTCTATTTCATTATGAGCGCTTTCTAATTCTAATTTTAGCTGTTCAAGTTGTTGTTTTAGTTGACTAACTTGGTCGCCTACATCGTCAGAGATATCAGGTAAGCTAGTTGTGGTGCCATCTATCGGCGATTCAGCTAATATGCTTTCACTGTCATTAGTAGTGTTTGAATCGGACTTCGTGCGGTTGCGCCGAAACGTAATATTTTCTAAGAAGTTCATATTAGATATTATAATTTTTTTTTTTTTTACAAAAATACAATGACAGCAGTTGCTAGGGTTTGAACGCGATATCACAGCGATAGTTTCAATTTCCTCTCCGCAGCCACTCAGCCACGCAGGTATTAGGTATTATTGGTGAATTTGTCCAGTGCTTGCTTCTTCGTTAAAATTTTTTTATCAAGGTAGACCGTTACTATGACTCATGCAGAAAAAATGTCTGCTCTGTAATGTCACTTAACTTTTGTTTTTGTTTTTTAATATTTCAATGTTCTATCACTTTTATTGGTCTTTTTTATGTTCTTTTTTTTAGGTTTTAGTGTTTTTTTAGGTTTCACTTACACACATTGGGTTTTTTGGCAATTATTAAGCGAGGTTGAAGATGATTGTTATTAGATGTTTTTTTGCAATTTGTCGATGCACACTTCACTCACTAACAATGTCATTAAGGGTTCACAGGTTTAAGCACATTTTCAGACAACATTTATTATAAAAGGAGCAGAATTTACAACTTTAATTTATTTATTCACACAGACTCGATGTGTAACTGACAGCTAACGCCATCTTTTTCTTTTACGTACACGTTACGTTACATTTTACGTACATGTATGTACATGCTGTATGCTCTTGCTTGCGGCTCTATTATGGTTCTATTCACAATTAAAAACCATTATAATGATTAACTATTATTATACTAATATAAGCAAGGGATGTATAGAAACTAATACCAATCATTATGTAGTAATATTTCATTAAATAATCCGAATTTATCACGAAAAATTCAAAACGTCTGTAGAAAGCCGAATCACATTAATAACATGTCTCAAAGTGATAATACAATGGCAGTTATATTTTCATTTATTTTTAAGGGTGAAAGGATGATTAAGTATTATAAAACGTTTCGTAGATTATAACTTTTTTTTTTGTCTGTGCGGAAAGCCCTTCGGATACCACCCACCGGTGGTTATGTCGGACATGAACCGACCAAAAACCGCAAGCCGTCTCGGGCACCAGTAGCCGGGGAACCAGGTGTACCCCAGGCAGGAAATCCGTGGAACCTGTAGACCCGTAGATGAACCCCTTGTGTGTCTAAAGGCCGCCAACCCGGCCTGCTTCTGCTAGGGTGACAGATGGCCTCACCTGTCACCCCCCGGGACTGCGCTTATGGAGGACGGAGGTTGTTTTGCGACCTCCTACGCCTGAGTCTCCTGCGGTACCTGGGCCGTTCCCGGGCCTGTCAGACAGACAGTTCTAGATTATAACCCTTACTTTTAAGTGATTGAAGGGTAATCTACTGATAAACTGAGTTTTCCGTACAAGCATTGATCTAGAGAAAATATTTATTCACATCATCATCATCACATCAGCAGCCCTTAATAGTCCACTTCTGGACATAGGCCTCTCCTTAGAAAGGAGGTTTTGGCCTACTATACCACGCTGGCCAGACGGGTTGGCGAATAATTATTAGCCTTTAAATAACTAATAAATATATAGTAGGTACATGCGTATAGAACATAACTTGCAGAACTGATGGCGCAGCGTGGGATATCCAACAATATGGTCTGACACCTTATAAAGATACAGGTAGCTGCAAAACATTTTTTTTAATTTTCAATTGTGGAAGGAAGCTCATGACCAGCAGTGAACGTTCTATGGCCGACACAATAGTAATAATAATAATGATAACCCTTAGAAAAATATTTAGCATGCCTTCAATAATTTTTTTTATGTTAGATGGGGCAGACGAGCAGACGGGTCACCTGATGGAAAGTGACTATCGCCGCCCGCGACTCAGGAGTCACAAACGCGTTCACGTATCATCATACATCAAAAATAATAATATGAGTTAATAAAAATCATGTTTCCATTGTATAATATTATACTAAAGTAAAATTACTAATAAAAATGATATTATAGCTAAATAAATAACCTAAGAACTGATATTATTGTCATCGTGATTAAATGATTACATACAAAGTTGCATAGCCTAGCACTATTACAATAATTAGTATCACAAACACAAACGTGGTAGCGAGCAAACAAGGAAATCGAGCGACTGAAAGGCGTTAGTGAAGCAGCAGGAGACATTATACATCCATTTCTTATATTAAACAAAGATAATTCCAATTTTACAAAGCGATGTGTTGCAAAAGTATTCCCTATTTGTACAGGCCATTCCCTCCGACATCCTCTTTGAGTATATACAGTACCAACGTCTAGCCATCTTTTAAAACAGCCTCTTATCCAGTGCCGACTAAGTATTTGTGTTTTTGAACCCATGTTATTGTAGTAATAACGATTCGTGCGTCTTTGATAAAAGGGTTTTCGCCTCATTTCAAGATCGAAATCAAAATATGAAGGGATTCGACCATAGGGTTCTTGACATACGGCACGAAAATAACGTGCCATAAATCTAACACGCCAGTCCAAGGACTGAAATGCGTCATGACAAATCGGATTTCTCGGAATATCAATTTCATTCAATCCACACCAAAAGCAGCGTATTTTAACGTCTCCATCCCAAATACTTGGAATAGATCGTGTCTTTGTTAAAATTCCAGCAGCAAATGTTGTAATATTTGGAACTGCAATATGAGAATCAACTGCAGGTATAGTAGATGAGGATGGTGATGGAAGTTTTGAAGTAAAAGGTGATGTTTTTGGAGCGATGTCATCAGTAACATTTGTAATCGTTTCAGAAACATTGGGATGGGTGGTGTAAATGTCTTTTGGGAATGTGAAATTGAATACAGAACCATTAGTACTCTTCCAATATCTATAAGAGCGGGTTGAAGATGCGATTCTGCCTAAATGCCCAATAAAAGGCAAAAATTTAAAACGTCTTCCGGAATCATCCATTTCTGTTTCGTCATTTATTCTTATTTTATCATTAGTTTCAAATTGTTCTCGTAGTTCAGGTAGCTCATCGAGTAAATTTTCATAAACATCCTTTGGAATATCTTCAGGGATCAACCAGGTATCTGGCGATGCAACGTACTCATTTGTATTTCTAAACCGTGATAATAATGAAGAGGTCATTATTCGTGGCAATTTGATAATAAAAATAAATATAAAACTTAGCGATACCAGCAAATAATATTTCATAATAACGGGGCTGTTTACATATTTTGACAGTTTCACTTTCGTGACATTGACACAATAATGGCAGTATGTATTGAATTACACTATCCATTTCACTTTAGGCAGAAGTTCTTCTTACTAAAATTGTTAACCTATACAAACTTTTTTTGACAAGACTAAGATCCTATCGCCTACCATTTTGTAAAGGGTTTTAAAGTTATGATATTTTTATTGGATGCTGCAATTTAGCACCGATATGTACAAGATAAGATTTAGATTAAAATGATATTAAAGTAGTTTTAACAGGAACTAGGAACTTTACTAAGTATAGTAATACGGTTATTACATATGCCAAGTTGTTTTCGTTTGTTTGTTGAATCAAAAGTTATGAGAAGGGTCATCACCATAGATACTAATAGGATTATATTAATATCAAAAAGGTATTCTTTTACTATTATTGTATATGTAACAGGTCTTTACCTGTGAAGTTTTTTAAACCAGCAATTTCTAATTTAATTATCTGTGGATTGGCGCGCAATTCTAAATTCAAATAAATTTTATTCGAAAGCCATGTTATGTGAAATACAGTCAATTGTTTTAGATAGTGTTTTGTTTTAAATTTTATTTAATATTAATTTAATTAAAAATTGTTCATGGTTAAACTGAAAATTCTTACAATTTTCAAATCTGAGTTTCTACGTGGAAATACTGCTGTGCAAACAATACGCAGCAGTGCTTGCATAAACACAGTTGATTTTTGGTTAAATAGTTTTAGATCTAGACATTTTGAGTTGGCGAACAAACCTCGCGGTCAGCCGGTAACTATAGTCGACAACGACGAATTGAAAGCCACAGTGGAAACGGATCCAACTTAATTTACGGCTGATCTTGGTGCGGGCTTTGGAGTTACTATCAAAACAACATAGAATCATTTGCGTCAAATTGGAAAGATAAAAAAGCTAGATAAGTGGGTGCCACATGAACCGAGAACGCGTCGAAGAATGCATAGCACTACTGAATCGTCATAGAAATGAGATAATTCTGAATGGAATTGTTAAGTACGATGGAAATTGGATCCTGTGTGACAACACAGGAAGACGATGGTGACTCTTTGGTGGACCAGTGCCGGACTTGTACATCAAAGCTTCTTACCGATTAGCATAACAGTGATGACAGATGTTTATTGCCAAGAATTGTAAACAATGATGTAGAAAGCCAAAACCTCCTTTCCAAGGAGAGGCTTATGTCCAGCAGTGGACTATTAAAGGCTGTGGATGTGATGATAGGCACATCATGGATTTTGTATAAGTATAATTTTTTTTATATTTATGTTCCTAATTATTTGACAAAACGGAGATTGTGTGTGTATTGATCGACGACTTTAGAGTCTATATAAAAGAGGATTTCAAATAATTTTTATTTTTTTATGAAATAAAGATATTTTATACATGAATTTCAATATGCGTAAAAGCTTAACAATTAAATGTCATAATCCCATTTATAAATTTACTAAGGATTAAAAAATAATCTGTACAACAAAAATAAGATTTACTACAACAATAAAGTACCAACATAGATAAGTACTCACATAAAAGTATTATATCTCTGAAACTTTTATAAAGGAAGTAGTTGCGGAGGAACTAAAAAGATAACGTTGCTGTAAAAACCAACTCTTTTGCTAAGTTTAACGTGTTTCTCAAGGAAGTCGGTCGTTCATTAACTATTCACGAGAAAATATTTTAATAATTTTAAAATTGGTTCAGGAATTCTTGTCTAATGACGACTAGTTATCATGTTGTTATTTTAATGGTCCAGTCTTGTTTTACTTTAATTATTTTTTGTGGTTTAGGGGAAAAATAGCAGACAGGGTACCGCTGCCCATGGGACTAAATTCATTCGTAATTTCTGTTTCTGATATATAACATTTGGAAAAAGTTACGCATTATTCGTGTGGTGACGGATTAAGAACACAGAGTGTCACCACCACTATTCATTCCGTGGGACACCCACAATAAAAAGTCGACTAAGGGAGTAAACTGTGCATGACAAGAGTACTGCAAAGAGAAGGAAAACTTAAAACAAACCTTATACCAATCCGGCTAGAGGCCTATGTCAAACAGCGGACTAGTAAAGGCTGTTGGTTGGTGATGCAATTACGCATCGATTTTTACAGTTTCTTAAGTAATATATAAATATGTCACTCTTCTTAATTTGTTTAATGAGGGTTTTCTGAAATGTTCCACGTGAGATGGCAGCACTGTAGCGTCAGGTCCAACCACCTGTCAAAACACATACACGATTTGTATTTTTCGATCATTTTATTGGTTTATTCATTCTTAAAAACGTTACAAAAGGAATACTAATTTCTAAAATTCCACAGTGTTGTGCAAATATGTGCCTATGTGTGCAAATAAAACTTTTGCGCTCTCTTTTTGAGCTCAATCTTCAATTCGGCAACCTTTCTCTGGCCGTAATCTATAATAAACTCAATAACACTTCCAAATTCATAGAATTTCACTAACATACTATACGTTCGGTAAGAATCTGTGCTATCTGACAGCTGTTTGGACCTGACGCATACGAAGCGCCGTCTGGTGGCAGAAAAAGTATCGAAGACCCTCATTAACTAGACATTATTAAATATTATAAAACTTTAAAATTGCAAGTTCCGAATTGTTCTACGTATCAAAAATATTCTAAGCCGATTCTAACGAGAAATTATATTGTATCTACACACAGGGGATATAGCTCAGTGGCAGAGCAATCGACTGCAGATCGATAGGTCCCCGGTTCAAATCCGGGTGTCCCCTAGTTTTAAACTTTGTTTTGGGGGTTTTAGTGAAAATTTATAGTCAACTTTTATGTTAAATATAAAAGAATTTTGATCAAATTTTAAAAAAATTATTTTTCTACTATACACTCAAATTTGTCCAAAACAACAGGTATTCTAAGTTTTAATTTAATATATTCATAGATTTTATTTACCTAACATAATGATAGAAACTTATTTTTTTTGTCTTTGATTGCTATAAATGTGCTTATTCATATTTCAAATTTACTAACGAAAAATTTCACATTAAGAATGTATTTTTTTAAGACAAAATAGTTTGTCGATGTACAAATTATATAGATGCAAACAAAAAACAGACTTATGCTTGGTTACTTAAAGCTACATTCGTTTATCTATTCCAAACAAATAAACACCCCACCTGATATTTACACATCTACATAAAGAAATTATATGTACAATATCCGCGATGCTACGCTATGCTCTGACTGCTCTGACTGACTGGTTCCAGCAACTATAATAATAATAATAATAATAATATATTTATTTGCAGAAAATGTGGTAGTCACAGTAGGTGGTTTACAATGTTTAAAGCACAAGACACATTTCGCTATATTTAGATAGCATGCAAATTTTTAAATTGTACAGGTAAAATCATGAAATAAAATTACATTACATTGCACTTGAAATATCAAAAATCAAAAAAATTTAAAATTGTACAGGTAAAATTATGAAATAAAATAAAAATAAAATTACATTACATTGCACTTAAAATATCAAAAATCATATTAAAAATAATTACTACACTAATGCATTTCTGAAGTGATATGACTGAGTAGAGTACTTTTTTAAAAAATCATTGACGGACGGATTTTAATAGAAGTACAAAGCAGGTACATACGAGTACAAAGCAGGATAAGGTAGACACCCCCGTTTTAAGCCGAATTAAGTTAACTTACGTAAAATAATCACTGAAATTAATATCTAGTGGGTAATAAAGTAACAACCCTGGTATGCTTGCTTGCTTCTTATGTGTGTGTATATAACGCATTTTAATTAAAAAAAATAAATTAAAAAAAGCTTATGATGAATTCTACTGAAAATTAGGAACGGAGAATACAGTTCGTATTCTCCGTCCCTAAGTTTAATTTCATCCTTAGCAATGGTATTTGTCCTTCAAATATAAATGGGACCAAACAGGAAGCTTCTTCACGCCTAAACCGCTAAACCGATTTAGATGAAATTTGGTATAGTGATAGTTTGAGCCCCGGGAAAGGACATTGGATATTTTTATACCAAAAATCATAAACTTAAGGGTGTGAATAGGAAATGGAAGTGTGTATGGGTAATCAATAATTACTGAACCGATTTAAATGAAATTTCGCACGAAGATAGTTTGCTTCTTAAGAAAGTACACAGGCTTTTTAGTGCGATAACCGACATCCGTGTGGGTGGAGCTGCGGGCAAAAGTTACCTATAAATGACACAGTTCTGAGGTAACAATAAAAAAAAACTACACATTTTTTTATTAAAACAAGCTTTTAAAGACCCTGTATATCATGTAGCACCAAAGTACTCACCAAGATAAAAGAAATGAGCCTAAACTCGGTGGGTTAATCTTGTTTAGATAAAAAGTTCCCATGGCCGTCTTTTAACTCCATCATCAGAACAGCTCCATGGTACCATATTATTGTATTGTCACTGAAGATACATATGCACACCAAATTTGAGTCCAATCGGACATCGGAAAGTCGTTCTAATTTAGATTAAAAGGTTCTTGTCGAACACATATGCCTACAGTTAAGCTTTTTAAGTTCACTAATAAATAAAAGAGCTTGTTACAAAATAAAATCCATTTGAAAGTCAGGAGACTTTTGAAGTCGATTGCAAAGGTGACAATTCTCAATCTAACTGATATTCTAGTGTTTAGACCCGTTAGATAAATCATCGGCCCAGCGCAGTCCACTGCTGGACATAGGCCTCTCCCATTGCACGCCACTTAGATCGATTTTGGGCTTCTCGCATCCAGCTCCTGCTAGTCATCTTGCGCAAATCGTCACTCCACCTGGCTTGTGGGCATCCTACACTACGGTCTCCACTCAAGAACTCGTTTTTGCCCCAACGGTTTTACGTAAATGTTACGCAATATCTTCGCCATTTATTAACAGCT